GAATTTGATTACATAAAAATTATATTACAAATAAAAATCAAATTCCCTAAAACCATGAAGTAAACGACAGTCTTTTCTTCGGCTAAAGATAGTTATGCAGCCATCAATAATTAAATCTGGACCTTTTATTTATAAAATCCAGATCTAAGGATGGAGATTTAAAGACTATTTTTATTTTCTCTAACTTTCTTAATAGACTTATATCTTCTTCGTTTTAACTCAGATTTAATTTTATTTTTTTTGCACAGATGGAACGAGTTCGTTGTGTTCTACAAAATGAGACATATTTTCAATATTTTTTGAGAAATTTTTTTTTTGCCTCTCGATACCAACTGCATATCATATGGTATCTTCTTCATTTTTTATTCGTTTTTGAAACGTTTGCACAGAAGGAACGAGTTCATCATGATCTATTGGATGTACAAATTTCTGAGTGAAAAAATTGCAGGACCAAAAAATATCACACAATACCACTCTGGTACGGGGTGGTATCTTGTGGTATACAATGTTAATAGTCGTAAATGACAGTTAATATACTTATACTATCATGCATTCGACCATCCTACATTCTTGGTTTCTTCATACCACCATGATACGCTTTTCAAACCATAGGTATGCTCTTATTTCAATATCAGTCAGTCAATACCATATGGTATAGACTGGTAAAAAATGACTCAATTTTTTTTGTTCGAAAAATATAGGGTTAATATTTTCATATGGCCTGAACTTTGACCAAAATAAACATCCTGGCCAATCTTTTTGATCTATAACATCCTGGCCCGAACTATACACAAAAATAAACAATTTGGCCAGATCCGACTTTTGACCGTTAACTTGGACGGTCAAACGCGTTGACCGTTAGTCAACGCGCCATGTCACTGCCAAGTCAACATAAAATATTTAAAATAATTCACAATTTCCACACATTCCCTAAATTTAAATTATTATAAATTAGAAAAATCATCTAATACCTTAGTTAAACCAAAAATAAAAAACGAAAAAAATTAAATATTTGTCAGATCTTCTGACTTGGCAGTGACGTGGCGAGTTGGCCGTTAGTCAACGCGTTTGACCGTCCAAGTTAACGGTCAAACATCGGGTTTGGCCAAATTGTTTATTTTGGTGTATAGTTCAGGCCAGGATGTTATAGATCGAAAAGATTGGCCAAGATGTTTATTTTGGTCAAAGTTCAGGCCATACGAAAATATTAACCCAAAAATATATCAAAGTGGATATTATTTTGAAGAGCACATTTAATATGATCTAACTGTGCAAAAAAATTAAATTTCGACTTAAAACGAGTGAGAAATCGTCCGTCAAAGATTAAGGAGGGAAAATCAAAAGCTTTCCAGGAGAGAGAAGGATGCTAATGTCATGCCGATGTGGACGGGTTACTCATAGAGTCATAGTTACTCACCATAAGGTTACTTGATCCTTTCCCCTTTTCTTCTCATGGATTGAATGAAGCCCTAATACGACACGAGTCTTCTCTTGGATTATTTCACATGCATTTCGTTTTAAGGAAAAGTGTCTCTACGATTTCGGCTTCGTTACATTATTAAAGATATACAACATAGCAAAAAGCTCGGGAATTGCATGCTAGGTGCATTCAACTTCATTTTTATAAGAGTGATAGAAGTATATTTTTTAGTTACTGTTTAAGAGATTTGAATTTGGTACATTCACATTCAAGATTAGTGGTATTACAATTACATCAACTCTTTGTTTGTAGGCACATTCAAATTCTTGGAGAATTTTGACTACTTCAACCATATATAACATAATGTAATAATTAATGGTGATCAACGTGGATTATATGATCTACAATAAAATAGATTTATAGCAGTCAAGTGTATTTATCATTATAAGTGATTTATATGCCCTATAGTCATAGAGTGGCACACAAATATGTGTTGTTTGATGTCAGTAATTCTAGTTAAGGGCAGATGTTAGCGATAAATATTATCAATTGCAAATTTAAGAATTTGTGGCAAATATCTTTATTGTTAAATTCACATTTTGAAAGAAGTTAAGAATCATGTGATTAGAAACATGCAACCAACCATGTCTTCTATGCATTTATATATGTTTTTATAGTGAAATGAAACTTGTTTGGAGATTGGTTGTCAGTATATACTATATACTCCTCCACTATACTTTATTCTTCATTTAAGATATGCACATGAATAAAATTTATAGTGAGGAATAATTTTATGTTCGACTTTGAGATATTAGAGACAACCAAATAACTATAATGTTTTCCTAACACAAATGACATTAAGTAGATAAAATTATAGGGCCGAAAATCCAGAGTTTTGCTTTTGCACTCAAAGGAAGAAAGGGTTAACGACTGTTAGTGGTGCGTTAAAGCACTTTCAACGCAACTCTCATCCAATTCACAATACTCTTTCTAATTTCAATATTTTTAATGATTGTTAGCTTGTGGTATCCTCGAACTAATTTCAACTCGATTTGGTCTTTCACCAGACACTAAGAAGCGAGTTGGACAGAAACAGAGAGCAATAAGATCACATGAAAAATAGGTAAAGCCCAACCACTGGTATTGATATTTTAGGTGGACTAAATGCTCGGACTAGCTGGTGTCTTCTTCACCACGTTTCATTTGAAGCCGATGTTGTGCACCGAAACCTGCCCTTAGCAAGTTAGTATCATCCACAAAACGGTTATGTTGCTATCAAGAAATTCCCCTGCAAGGTCCTAAGCAAATCCATTGATTTGCTTAAGATTATTTATTCACGCCCTCTTCTTGATTTGGGTTCATGTTGGTTCTTTAGCATATTTGGTGCATGCGTTACTCGTTCTTTTCTTACCGGATGTAGATTATATAATGATTTGTTGAAGGAAGAAAGTAGATAAGAGATAGAATGGTCGCTTTTGTAATACGAGTGTAAATATCGGTTCATTAGTAGACTAAAAAATTAAATCAATCACACTCTTCTTATGACTATCATTTTATTTGGTTAATTGACACTAGCTACATTGATATGCTCTAAAGCAGGTTTGGGCTGAGGAGGAAGCTCGACTCTAGGGACCGGAGGCAGTTCAGGCTTGGGAAGCTCCAGCATCAGAAAACGTTATGATAATTTTTATGTTTTATTTATTGTTATAATGAGGTGAAATTTATTGTTAATTATTTTTTATTTGCAACGTTACTTATATATGAAAGTTGACTGTCACATAAAAAAAGTTAATAATGGAATATAACAGTAGATGATAATTATAAGTGAAATTAAATAATTTTAATAGTAAACGTGAAATATTTTAGTAAACCCAGTTACCGAACTTACAATTTACCCAATAAGCAGTGGACCAACCTATTCTCTACCTCTTAGCTTCCTACAAGTTTAACCTAGCTAATAATTGTGTATAAGAAGGAAATGAAGACATCCACGTTTTGAGATCCTAAAACCAAGCCGATCCCAAAGCTTCTCCTAATGATTTATCTCAGTGAAAGTCATTCCCCCATCTTTTCCGCATCAAGTCATCTCAACCCAAAATATATATAACCTCTCTCAAACCCAAAACAAAATTCCAAATAATACATACTAATTACCCCCCACAAAAAAACAAAGAACACAATTAAGAAAAAAATGATACGGAGCACAATCTTCCTTCTCCTCCTCCTGACACTCTACCCCATCTCCTGCATTGAAGCGACAGCGAGCATCCCAAACATCCTGGGCAACAACCTCATCGACCAGACATGCAAGAAAACCCCCTACTACGACCTCTGCATCCAGACCCTCGTCTCCTGCCCTGAGTCCTTCCACACCGACCTCGAGGGCCTCGCCAAGATCACGGTGGGCGCCATCGCCCACAAGGCCTCCGCCGCCCTCCGCCGAATCGAGACCATCCTCGCCAAGAAGGAACATTCCAAGCCGGCGGTCAGGGAGGCTCTGAATGCGTGCGCCTCAAGGTACCGTGCTGTGGTGGAGCAGGACGTCCCCGAGACGCTCATGTCGCTGAGGACAGGGAACTACAAGTTCGCTAGCCGGGGAACGAATGACGCTGCCACGGAGGCCATGTCGTGCGAGGAGGATTTCGCGGCGGGGGAGTCGCCCTTGTCCGACTTGAACGTGGCCGTGCATGACGTGTCCGTCGTGGCGGCTGCCATCGTTCAGGCTGTGATAGAGAGCTGATGGAGTTTGGGGAACTTGAATTTTTTTTTCTTTTTCTGCTGCTTTTTTTTTGTGAGTGTTCTTGCTTACTGATTTGGTGTTTGAAGTTTTGATTTTGGATTGTTTTGGTTTTTTTTTTTTTTTTTTTTTTTTTGTAGTGAGTAGTTTTGTTGTGTTCATGACAAGTTATCATGCATGGTTGGTGTGTTTGCCTAGTTAAATGAATTTCTTTCTGGTTTTGGCCTCTTGAGTTGTTGGTTGGAATTCTTGATTTGCTATGTTGGTTGGATTTATTTATGAAAATGTGAGCAATAATGGAATGGATAGTAAAACCACTTACAAAATCACGTAACGACCACTAACATACGATGATCAAAAAGAGCAACAATATCGTTGTGTACTTGGCGATATAAAGTGTCCCTTATGAGGTAGACAGTCGACTAGAAAATTAGCCTTTTTGTACGTATGAACTATTCGAGCTTCACAATTTCTACGTATGAGTTTTTGAAACACCAAGACAAGATTGGCATGCTAATGATAGGGATGACCGAATATTTGGAGCAGAGCCATGCAACCAACGTGGTCTTGGAGTAGAGCTGGAGCTCGACTAGTTTTCGTCCCACATCCCTAAAGAACCTGTTTTGAAATTGATTGTAAAATTTCATGTTATCCATTAAGTTTTAGTTCGACTAATTTCAACAACTTAATTAGGGTTCTGACAATTGTCAAAGTAGAAAATGCTCACACCATCACATCTAACTTGTGTAGCTTCCAGAGTTAGTTCTCTATTCCAGACCAAGAGTTCTCGTCTGTCAGGTTAAACATCAACTTGACCATTGAACTCGTTCGTATGTCCACATTGGACAATCTAATTTTGAAGCAATTGTTAGACAACCCACCAAACTCTTTAGAATGGGTTCTATGCTAGCCATTCAATCACACTTGTACTTATCACAACTTCGACATCAACTTCTGTTACTCGAGGGGATCTTCTTCAACAAGTTTGAAATCTCTCGATTCCCCGCAATACAAATCGTTTAGCACCAAAGAAGAGATTTTGTGTAGCTAATATGATACATCGGGGCGAATATCGATTACAAATCAGAAGGCCATATGATAAGAATGATAATATTAGCTGCAAAAAAAGGGGATAAGAGCTAAACAGAAGCTTGAGTCCCAAAGGGAAAAGGGGGGCGAGAAAAGGAAGCCGCCGCTATAAGATTTATCTTCCATCAGGGGGGTGGGGAAGTTTGTAAGCACTCAAGAGTAAAAGCAAGCACAGATGTTATCTACAGAACTTCACGATGATAGTCTAAGCCTCTCCTGAAGTATCTGCCCTAGCTTCATGTACAAATCTCGCTGCTCTTCCAGCGTTAGGCTGCCCAATATCTGCTCACCCACCAACGAAGAATAATATCAAAATCAAACAGATAAACGAAACCGGTTTAGAGTAGGTTTATTTCATCCTAGCGAGATCCTACCTGGTTCATAATCATCTCGATCGACGAGTCGTTAGGAGCAACAAACGACTGGTGATAGATGTAAGCAAAGACTGCCATCACCATCTGCAATGCATATGAAGAAAGAGCGAGGGTTCATATCAGCAATGATCCATAGGAGTTCACATTAGAAAAAAGATAGTTTGTGGGTATAGAGGTTGCTATGCTTACCTGGCAATCCATTCTATCTGTGAATCCACCGTGTCCTGGTATGCTATCCCCAAAATCCTGTATTTTTATATCAAGACAGAAGAGATGAGAAATACCATGTCAGAAACCATGGAAAACCCTGTTAAATCCACTCATTCATTCATTCATCATTTGTAGTCATGAACAAGAACCCTACTTTCACTTTGAAGGCCCTCTTGAATCCACTGGCAAAGAAGCCTCCAAAAGGAGCTATAATTGATGCAAATAAACCCAGCCACAGCGCATGCCACTGGACTGGCAAGATTGAAATCTCCTTCCAAGGTACCTATATATAGAACATAAGGAAAAGAAACTATGTCAGCTATCACGAGCATCACTCTCCTGTTTCAAGATGATTGATTTCAAATCATCATGAAGATACAGATTTCCATGCAATCACTCACCCAATGAGGAAGCCATTCGGGTAAAGGATAGGGCTCAGGTTTGTAAAGAGGACCAGGATTACAGTCAAGCCACCCTGTCGACAAATCCTGCATGTGGTTTACCTCACAATGAGGGATAGTTCTATAAAATCCAAGACCACTCTTTTCTATTTTCACAGAAAGACTGTACATTCTTTAGAGACTAAGAAAAACATACTTTTCTAGGACATGTTAGCCACTGGAACTGGCCCATGATGTTTGCAAGCTGCATGAGATAAGTACATACATCAGATAGTAATCAAATCAGTATAACCTGATAGATGGCAAATCCTTCTCCACCCAAAAGAACATTAAGAGGAATATTAAGAGGAACATTGACATAAATCTCTACTCTTGGCATGTGCCTCGTTATAAAATCTCTCATTTCTTTCTTCTACATCAGGCATGAACGCACACTAGCCAAGTTACGAACCCATTCGTGTTAAATGTTCCGTCCAATTACCCTACAAATAGACCATCTATAAAACGAAGAAACCACATCACCAGGCAAAGCCTACGGTTGTGAATCTCTCTTTCTCAACACTATTGTTGTAAATCTTAGATCAATACAGGCAATGTTCTGAAATCTTGTAGACCAAAAAGACTATGGAACAAGAGCTTAATACAAGCAGACTCATGAAAGATAAAAATAGAGCGCTTAAATGCAAATGAGTCAATGGAATGAAACCTACCACGAATGCTGAAATCATAGTGGCAACAGAAGCCCCAATAAAACCCTCCCACGTTTTCTTTGGAGACAATTTGATCAAAGGAGTTTTGCCGAAAAAGAAGCCAAAGAAATAAGCAGCAACATCATTGACTGCGATAAGTGATGCCGGGAGAAGAAACCTGCATATATATGTGTCTCAAGTTCTCAGGCTGCATAAAAATAAATGAAGCTACCAAGACTAGATCATAAAGCAACATTAACTGTTTCAGGCTCTCTTTTTTTTTTTTTTTTTTGAAATCATCCAGCCTAACAATAACATATAATTGTTCCTGAATTTCAGCCATCATAACGTGGCTTTTAAAAAACAATCAACAGCTATATGAATATCAAGGGACAGTGACAGCAAAGGGAAGTTGCTTTACCAAAAGATCCCTTCAAAGATATTGGCCACAGTGAATGCAGATTGAGCGAATACTACAAAGAGAATCATGTGTGTCCAAGCATATTGGCCAAATTGATACTTGTACATCTTCTTCTTCAATGTCAAGATGAACCACACAAACCCTGAAGAAATGAGAAAAGCATTAACTACTGATTAAAAAACAGACCAACAGAACGCACTACCCTATTAGCAACATTGCAGAGCACTTAACAGGGCAAATTATAAAACTTACGCACCTGCAATATATAGAAAATAACATATGGCCATGTGGTACTTGACAAAACCACCAACAAGCCTGTAGAAGATATTATCTGATGTGACCGTGTTCACAAGTCGCTGACTGATAATACGGCCATATACAAAAAGCATTGCAGTGAAGAAGAAGTGCCTGCCACATCACCATAAGACAATAAATTAGTACGTCATCCTCATGTATAACCTGGTTGCGCGGAATTCAATATATCAATAGATAAACAAACAGGAACCTGAATCGGCACCCTCTGAAACACTTGCATGCTTACCAGTTCAATAGCCTAAACCCAGGAAGACGCTTATTTTCATGAGCTCTCCTAAGTAAGTTGAAGAGCTCACTTGCCATAAATATTTGGATAACCACCACCATGGCCCAAATGTATAGATGCCCCATATAAAGAGCAAACACAAAGCTCCCGAGCATCCAAAAGGATGACAACGTGCGAATCCACATTGATTTGTACTTGTTTTGGTCATTAATGAGTAAATGGTCGCCATTTGATTTATTTATCTCCTGTGGAATCTGGCAACCAAATACATATATCAGCCCTCTTAACTAATGTGAAAATACTCACCACTATTTACAATTGAACCATTCTAGGAACCAAGCTTCAGAAAGATCGCAGACAGGGCATGAAACCAATATGATCCTCAAGAAATGAACAGCAGCAAACAGAACATATGCACCTTGAGAGTGAACAATTTTGAGTCCAGACTACAGAGTTAAGCAAAAACAACAAACCTCATTCGATCGTCTCCTATGCCGCAATCTAGGCGTAGATGTTGGTGATCCTATATCCTTCTGCATTGTTCTGAACACACTTCAAGCATGAAAAGTGGAAAACCAATTCAAAAGATTCAAACTTTTTCGACACCCCAACGCCTCCCCCCCTCTGCAACAAACAGATTCAAAGAAACAGCACAAGTGAGAAAATATATTAAACAAAAAGAGAGAGTACAGAAATTCAGGACCACCTGAAGATCAACAACTACAGATTCTTCCCACAAACGAGGAACTTTAACAGACCAAGTACAGAATAAAGCGCAATCCAACGGAATGTCGAACATTATTACTTCCAACCTAAGCAAAAGCCTAGACGGAGACAAAGAATCTTCACTCCGCCCTAAAAAAGAAACAAATTGGAATTCACATACGAGTTGCTCGATAAACAAGCTCTTCTCTCTGCCTCTTTTACAATTCATTCCACTCTCACTTGTTCTTACTTCCTCTACCAATCTCTCGCTGTCCGTCAGTCCGCCGAAATCTAGGATAAATGAAATGAAGGGGAAAGACTCGCCCACCTTACAAGAGGGAGGCAGCTGGCTCGCGACGGAGGGAGGCGCGGCCGGACTTCTGACGGCGGACCTGCGGCGAGACTGAGGGAGTCGGACTGACGTACTGCCGGACTGAGGAGTCCTCCAGTGGCGGTGGCAAAGACGTGCGAAGTAGGCTAGGAGCTTAGGGTTGCAGAGAGAGGATCAGGAGCCGAACGGAAGAATTTGATTTCGATCTGATTATTGTTTCCTTTGTTGCCATCTCCAATTTGTTATCTGATTCTCTCCAGAACCTTTACACGCCTTGTTTTTGCGGTATAGCGAGTGATATTTTGGGGTTAAATGTCATTTTAGGTCCTTGTACTAAATCACTTTCACAAATAAGTACTTGTACTATGTCATTGTCATGAAAGCAGTCGAAATGTCATTTGCAAACCATTATTGCTGGGTTTCACTTCCACTATATAAGTCGGCATTCCTTGACAAACTAGGCTGCCGACACCTCTCTGTTTTCTATGGAGATCAAGGAAAAAGTAGGTTCTCAAAAGAGGTATAGATTCAAAGTTGTGAATGGTTAGCATTTTAATTGATCAGATAAAACTTGGATCGAAAAGATAACCATAGCGATCTCACGATTCGAGTGATGAGCTATTAGAAGGAACAATACAGTTCAGATGCATCACCCAGAGTATGGACCTCTTGACATACTTGACAGTGTTAGTGTAATCTTACTGTACAAACCGATTATGCAAAGTTGCACAGTCCGAATACCAAGCAGGTATGAACTTTTAACGAGTTACAGGGATATAGTTCTTATTTGTCCATAACTACCTGAAGTATCATCCACAATTTGTGACAGGAATCTAGAGAGCAACAAGTAATATATATTGGATGAGATTATTTCAGCCATAACTTTTACTTAGGGAATAATTATAATTATTCAAACACAAGATGAACAGAAGAGAGGGGGACAGTGATTCAGTAGTTTTCAGGCTGCAAGTTTTATGCACATAATATATGGACCAAAAGTGGCCTCCAAGAGCGACAAAAGATGAAAGTAGAAAGCAAGAAACACCAAAAGCAAGCAAGCTGCACTTAGTTCCCCATAATGCTTCATTCTTTTTTTGTACTTCCCTCAACTGCACAATAAATCTCTGCTGTTAGTTCATCTCATGCTCATCACAGGCCATGGGTTCACACCAGCAGCTGGTAGCATAGGCCGGACAATGGGAACCCGTCTCACCACGGAGAATGCTTCGTTGAGTCGTGCAGCACGGCTCATGAACTGCGACACCTTCTGCAGAAATGAGAAAAAACACAAAGAAAACGAAATCAGAAGTAAGTTCGCGTCATGTAGAATGTTTGAAAAGGTTTCAACAACAATACATTTGTGTGGTTAAACAAGCGAGAACAAAGTCTTTTCACATTGGTTTCTATAAAGATAAGCAAACACTTCTGAAAACTATATGCAGTTGACTGAAGAGGCTTTCAAAGAATGAACAGCATACTCATAATATCAAAATTACAGGTAATATCCCCCATCCAGTTCATGGAATAGATATATAATGTGCAGCAAAAATTTCTATAATCAAATGATGAAATGGCAATTCACAATTTGAATGAATACAAAAGACTAAGAGAAACGAATACGCACAAAATATAAACTAACAACCAAGATATGTTAGTGTGAGTTAACTGGTAAATAAATGATAGCTGGTCTTTCTTTGGAAATGCATTTTTTTTTATAATGCTCTTTGGAAATGCATTTGAGTATCAAAATACCAATTCTTTTAGGCAGAAGGAAAACATGAACAAGAAAACAGATAAGATCATCAAACTTATGGTAGTACGGGAAGCTATCTAAGTAGCACATATGAATAAGGATTCACAAGTTTGAACACATAATCATCATTGCATTGGCGTGTAACTTTCGACATCTTACCACATGATCTAAAGTTCGAACATCCTAAAAGGATACAAAGCAATATACCGACCTTATCATCAAGGGTAACTTTAAGCTCCAAGCTCCTCGCCTTGCGCTTCATCTTATATAACTTCCGACCCAAGATGACGAAGCCCATTAGAGCTGCAGCCATTGAGAAAGTCCACACAGGGCTAACTCTGAAAACACAGCACTTCAACAACTCAAACGGAACTTTCCACCAGACCACTGGCTGCTTCTTCCCCTCATCACCACCATCCGATTTCCCGTCCCCAGCTTCAACAACACGCGAGTTTTCCTCCACCGTATCATTCCCACCACGAGTGGCTTCGTCACTCATAACCTCAGAACCCAAAACCAAGCCATCACCACCAGAATCAGACCAGAACTTGGTCATATCTTTCTCCTTCCCTAGCTTCTGCTCAATTTCTTCAAAACCCAGTTGGCGACTCTTCACATTCTCCTCAAAACTTGATTCACTCTTCGCCTCACAGCTTGAAAGCTCGCTCACCAGCTGATCAAACTCCCTTCCATCAACTTCCTTAGCTTCAATTTCCTCGCTCTTGGCGAATTTTTCAGCACCCAATTCATTTCTAACATCAAAGTCACTAACTTTCTGGTCATCCGACCGATCACTAGCCGAATCAGACCAGAAGCCAACTGAATTTTTGCCCTCGAACCGATTTTCAATAGCAGGATCGATCCAACTCGGATTATCAGACTCAACAGAGCTCTCTACCTCACCAGCACAAGCAACAACGGATTTATCAAACATGCTATCATTTCCAATAGAGAAGTAATCCAACCTGATCATCCCGCCGGAATCAGCCTCGATTTCGTCGAAACTCCTCGGATTCTCCTCCAATACAGGGGAGCTAACCACAACAGCTTCGGTTTCGGAATGAGCCAGAACCTCCCAGTCCTGAAACTCCAGCGAACCTTCTCCTTCCATGGCTATGTGAGAAAAGTGTAATCTATCTATCTCTAGCTCTACGAATTGGTAGAAACAAAGAGAAAAGATTGAAACTTTAGAACCCTAACACCCAAATTCGGAGACCCTTTTTGGATTTTCCGATTTGTGATTCTGGGGGAAAAGGAGACGAGAGGAAGAAAGGTTAAAGGAGTTGGCGTTGGGTAGCAGTAGTACTTTCAAGTTTCAACACAACTGCCATCCCAATCCACAAGACTGCCCCACCTCTTTCATTTCCTCAAATTTTCTTTATACGGGTAAACTAATCAAACGACCACCTAAACTTTAGGGCTAGTGGGAAATTCATCCCTGGAGTTTAATTCTTAGCAAATTTGTCACTAGAGTAACATTACACACATTTTGTTTAAATAGATGCATTAAACTTGTTTGAGGGCAAAATGTGAAGCCCACGGAGGCGGATTCCGGCTATCCTTACGAGAGTCCTCTAAATATGACCCAAATCAAATTAATTTTTTTTAATGATATTAATAGAGGACAAGAGTTATTCATATAAATATATCCAGGACCACTTACAATATATTATAATGAAGCCACCCCAAAAAGTCGAAAGATTCTAGCTCTAGACAAGTCAAAGCAGTGCTTTACGCGCCACTCTATGGGCAACACTGTTGGCAGTTCTAGATACCGCCCTAAACTCTATACAAATGGACAAAGAGCTAAGGATCTGACGACACTCTCGTAGCACCGGACCACCAATCGAGTCTTCTATGAAACCTTGCCGGATCTGCTTGACGACCACTTCGGAATCACCTTCGACTATCACGTGAGTCAAAGATATTCAGGTGATTATGGAAATAGCGACTCTAATGGCTAGGAGCTCTGCCAGGGAAGATTGACTATTTCTTGATGTTGTAACCCGAACGCCAACACCACATGTTCGTCTGACCCAAGGACAACAAGCCCAGACGAACACCCGGTGACACAAACAGCAGCGTCGAAATTGATCTTCAAATAATCGTCTGGCGCCTGGAACCATGTGGTGGTTGGATGGTTTGGGAAGAGAGCTGTGGGGGTTGGGGAGGGAGGAGAGTGTTTGAGATATCAAGGACCTGGTGGTAGAAATGTATGGCTAGGGAACGGACATGAGGTTGGTAGAATTCAAAAATCACTTTATTTATAGACCTCCAGATTCTCCAATGTAAGCAGACGCATTGGAGAATGTGAAATGTGGAGGTCTCAGAGACCATGACATGTCGCCACCATAGACTAAAGTTAACAGTCGAGGCGGTCTCAATAAAGTTGCTCAATCTCACTAAAGTCCACAATCTGATGGCTAGGGGGCATTTGAAGAATAAATGTTCAATGCTTTCTCGACTATCCGTTTTCGATTTGAGGCCAAAGCTTATTCATGAGTCAGGTGATAGTCCTATTTGACTATTTCTAAAGAAATAAGAAACCATAGTTGATGTACTAAGGAAGACTTCATCGTTTGAAATCGTAGAACATGTGATTAATACCACTAAAGTCCACAAATCAAATTGATTATTCAATTGAATTTCATATATCATTGCGCATGGCGACTACAGTCTCATCCCCTCACTGCCAGGTGGCAGGTAGTTTTTTTTTTTTTTTACAGTAAGACACGCATTTCATTCATTGAAATGGAAAACCAGTATTACAACAGGGGGGACACAATGTCAAGAATATGAAGCCAGTCCTGGAGGAGCTGGTTCTTGGCACGAGACCTGGCCACCCAGTCCGCCTTAGAATTGAATTTCCTTCTGACATACTCAATCCTAACCCTTGGGAAGGAAGAGCAGAGCTGTCTGATGATGCTGATCCATGCCGCAGCGCGCCAAGGCCATGGATCCGGGGATCCTTGAATAGCCCTGACCAGGATGAGGCAATCGGATTTGATAATACAGGAAGCATCGAGCTGGACAGCAAAACGAGTTCCCTCAAGAAGGGCCTTGGTTTCCACTTCAATTGGTGAATAGCAGTGTAAGGGCTCAGCCTTCCCGTCCACAATTTGACCATGGCTATTGGAAATGACAACGCCATATGCCGCCTCCTGGGAATCGTGTATGAACGATCCATCACAGTGTATCTCAAAGTCATGAGTACCTGGCGGTGGTAAAACTTCTTCCGGGTGTGGAATGGGCTGAGGGTGATGATGAGATTGTTTTCTCAAAGCAGGGCACGACGTCCATTGTTGGAAGCTGCAGAAGGCTTGGTTGACTGTTTCTGGCGGCCAAATCCTTTTATCCCTGAATATACATTCATTCCTCGCTTTCCATGTGTGCCACATTAGGTAAACGATATTTTGCATGGATGACTGTGAGTACCTTGGCCGAAGGGAGAATAACCAGTCCAGCATGTTAGTTTGCTGTTGGGGTAAGCAAAGCGTATGCCATGCCTCTTTCCATCCTTCTGCTGCCAGTGGGCAGTAGAAAAGGCAGTGCTGAATGGTTTCAATCTCTCCCAAGCAAAGAGGGCAAACGTTGGAGGGCGAGCAACGTCGTGTGTGCAGATTTT